ATTCAGACCAGAAGTCAGATCATTGTTCAGGCTGGTGACCTCCATGTCCCAGCTCAGAAACCCCATCCCAGAATGGCAAAGCTTGGAGGAAGACAGGCATGATGACACATGTCTATATAATCCCAGAACTTGGGAGGCTGAAAGAGGAGGCTCACTATGAGTTCAAGGCCATCCTGGGCTACGTAGTGAGTTCAAGTTCAACCTGAACTACACAGTGAGACTTTGTCTCAAAAAAAAAAAAAAGCTAGGAGGAGATATTTATCAGGTTGTTATGGCTTTTATCTAGATGCCCTCCCTCACAGGAGGGCCTTTGGCAATGTGTTTGCACCATGGGTGTGTGATAATCATCAGTGAATTAGTCCACCAGTGAGTTCATAGCTAAATGTGATATTGGGAGGTGGAGCCTGGTCCGAGGAGGGTCATTGGGGAATGACCTGGAAGGGTGTACCCCCTCTCTGGTCCCTCCCTTCATGCTCTCGGTATCCCAGCTGCCATGCCTGAGCAGCTCCCCTCTGCTATGCCGTCCTACTGCAAGCCAACCGACCATAAACAAGAGCCAAACCTCTCCTCCCTTACTGTGAGGGTGCTGGGCACTATGTCTCAGCAACAAGGAAGTGACTAAGACACAGATGACTAAGAAGAGTATGTGGTCTGGGGATGTACCCTCAGGAGCTGCACATGTAGGCGTTTACTATCACAGAGAACAACGGAAGTAGTTTTGCAGTGCTAGAATTTCTGTCCGGCTGAAAGTCATCTGTTCACCCATTGGGATTACTGCAGGATGCACGTGTTTATGGACTCTCACCTGAGCCATGTCCCTGCCGTCTTCCCAAGACCTCAGGAACCATCCATCAACCCACTGAAGACCTCTTCATTCCCCCAAAGAACATCTTGTTCCTCTGACAGCTCCCACTCAAGGAAAACTCAAGCCAACCTTTCCTCTATGGGCCCAGCTTACAGAGTAAAGCTCCAGAGAACTCAAAGAATTTATAATAGTTGTGTTTGGCAAAAGTATCCTTGAAGTGTGATTTCTGGAGGTTGAAAGACCAAGGAACTGAGATTTCAGAAACTGACACTGGGCCTTGTGTTACAACCCCCATTGTTCAGAATTCCAAATGGTTAAACTGACTTAAAGCCCTGTGCAGCCAGCCTCTTGCCCAGAAGAGATTCATGAGGTCCTCCTGTAAGCACCAGTCCTATGATTCTTGTGGCCAAAGTATTGTTACTCTGTGGAAACAGTTCAGCAGATTGAAATGTCCAACTCTGAGCTGGGGGTGCTGCTCAGTAGTAGAGTACTTGCTTCCCTACCCTGTGTGAAGCCCCAAAATGGAGGTGAGGGAGTCCACTGTTAACCCTGGAATTCTTCATTCTATTAAACCAGAGCTTGCTTGATCACCAGCATTACTGTGTCCTCGTTCTCCCCCCCACCCACTGCTCCCTTTATCAATGCTCTAGGCTTGGACCAGTATTCACACCTTGTACCTCTGAGATTCATCTCCATCTCCGTAAGGACACCCATGATGATGGCTACCTCTCCAAAGCACGGTCCCTGCCACACAGGTCTAACATGCACATCACCACGTGCACCACGCACCCTAGGAAGCAGGTACAGGAGCCTCCTCATTCAGTCTCTAATGTTCTGAGATCTGATGGGTCTTGTGGGAGATTTGGATTTCAGAACATTTCAGATTGTGAAATGTCAGATTGAGGGGTCTTTGACCAATAATATCTGTGCAAGTATCTCCAAATCCAAAAACTCCAAAATCTAAAATATTTCTCTGGTCCCAAATATTTCTGATAACAGGATACTTAACCTGCACAATTAACAACCTATGTTACAGACAAGGCCTTGTTATGTGAGAATGCACAGACTTACCCCTCTTGAACACAAAAGGTATAATCATTTATGCATATATGTGCATATTTAGGTATGTATATATTTATGTATTTACATATATATGTACATATAATACATAAAGTAACAGAGAAGATTTTTTAACTTGGTGGATTCCAACTTTCAATGAAAACAAAACCCTCCACGTTCTCATCACAAGCTTGGTGGTACTTCCCTCTAACCATTAACTTTTCTTAAAATAATAGCAGGGAATGCTACTAGAAATGTTTTCTTTAATCCAAAAGTAAGAGGAAAGGGGCTGAAAAAAATCCCTGCTGTATTTTCAAGGACTATTAGATAAATGGATGTTGTATTTATATATATGGAGTGCCCTGATTTTCAGATAATGCATTTACCTAATAGTTGATACTTAATCTTTTTGAGTTAATATCTGAAATGCTTCTTGAGTAGGTAACTTAAATGTCACAATGTCTTAAAGCAGCAGTCAAAAGAAACCTTTGCAAATACAGCACAATGCAGACATTGCTATCTGAGAGGATTTTGTCCAGGAATTGGAGACCAGCTTTAGCAACACAGTGAGACAGACACACACACACACACACACACACACACACACACACACACACACATCTCATAAAAAGAAAGTTTAACACATATAGCTTTACAAAAGACAAAAATTAAAGCTTTTATTCCAAATGCAATTTAGAAAATAGAAAAGAATTTCTTGCTATAAAAACTTTCAGTATATTTGGATAAATCAAAATGTTTTTATGTATTTGGTTTTATTGATATTTTGTAGCCACTTGAAAAGTTGCACAATTTAAGCTGAGTGTGGTGGCGCACACCTGAATCCCAGCAATTAGGGGGCTGAGGCAGGAGGACTGCCATGAATTTGAGGTCACTGGTCTACATAAGCAAGTTCAAGGCCAGCCTGCACTACACAGCAAGACTGTCTCAAAAAAATTGTACAATTCAATGCTTCATGCTAGTCCACTGTAAATATAATGTAAATATGCCACATGAAAAGGCCTTTTAAAAATACAGATTTGGGGGACCACCTACTAAATAAGAATAGGCAAAGACAAGGAGTCTGAAGTTTTTAAGCTTACTCTGTTTGTAATACATTTAATTAACCTACCTAATAAATTAGCACATACTTTATTTGCTTAGTCTTTGTCAAAACAGCAAATTGTTTCCAAACTTTTGCTATTCTACAATCACAAATATCCTTAAAGGTAACTCTCTCCAAACAAACACAATTATCTTCTGAGGCTAATAAAATGGTTTGCTTTTTAAGAAATACTGTAGTCAGGAGGAAACTATGGAGGAGCTACAAAGTCTGCTAGTTCACCCCACCACATTCTGGGAATTGTAAAGACTGGCAGACATTTAGAGCTGCTCGTTCAATTCAAGAAGGTTCAATACAGATTTCTAATGGAAACTCAGAAACAGACATCTGCCTTCTCTTACGACTCCATAATCACAAAGTACCCCTTGAGTCTATATCTCCAAATTGCCTCCTACATCTGCTGTTTGGTGCTATTGTAAAGTTTACATTTGTCAAGCTGGTGGCTCAGTGGTAAAGCAAGTGCTTAGCATGGGTGAGATCCCGGGTTTGATTTTCAGCTCAAAAAAAAAGGAGGTTCTCATTTGTTAAGATATCTATTATGCAAACATGGTGACTATAGTTAATATCAATATTGTATACCTAAAAAATCACTGATCTTAAATATTCTCACTAGAAAAAGATGGCAAGTTCATAATTTGTGTTAGCTTCAGTCATTGTACAGTGCATACATATTTCAAACCATGTTGTGCACCATATTCACAATCTGTATTAGAAATAATAAAAATAAAGCTCCTATTTGGAGGTTGACATAGTATCAGTCCCAAAGAGCACTTTCTCCAACTCACTTTTTTTTTTTTAATCTCCAACTCACTCTTGCAGATCTCTAATTACACACGAATATCTGCAGAGCAACACATTTTGGTTTAACTGCTGTGTTTTCACACTGATATCAGGTGATCTGCATATATTTATATTTATATGCATTTGAATGAAAAAGTATATACTTTATATGAATTCAAACTCTCTGAATTTCAGGGCTTGCATTCTTATGCTTACGATAAAAATGCTAAGAGGTCATCACCAAAGAAACCTTAAGCCAGTGATTCTCCAACTAGCATCCATGAACATACTTCCAAGGTTCTCTGTGAATTTTTCCTCCCTTTAAAGATGTTTACATGGGACTCAAAGTTGAAAAGCACTGACATAGGAATACAGGGAGCACACTGCTTCGGTTTCCCACGGAAGCGTCCGGCCTAGTCTTGGCACTCAGCAGAAACTAAGAGACACATTTCTGCACCCAGGCCCTGGTCTGAGTCAGGCAGGCCTTCCTGTCACACCTGGACATTCCCAGAAGAAAGAGAATCACGTCTTTGTCTTTTATTGTACTGTTAAAAACCGTTACTGAGCCTTTAAAATGCTGAGACCACCAAGGCCGACCTAGCTCTCTTTACAGATAACAAAGGGGCAGGAGTCTGGATAGGGAATGCCTTAAGGTCACAAAACCGGTTAGCAGCAGAAACAAAACTATATCCTTTGCCAGCTATCCTAACTTCCCTGCCAGCTCCCCATAGGAGCTGCCTCCGCCGACCTTAAGAACTGTGATTCAGAACCCACAGACCGCCGCCCCCACTACCCACTTCTGTTCCATTTCCGCATTCCTTGGTCCCTACCCTCCCTGGATTCCTTTCCAAGTCTGCTCGCCTTGCTATACCCAAGGTCTTCAACAGTATAATAGTTCACATACTCTCACCCTTACTGCTCTGCCTACAGAGACGCAATCTAGCCGAGCTAGGTAACGGGAAGTTCAGACAGGAGGAGCTAAAATGAATCCAACCTGGGCGATTTAACGAGAACCTGCCTCAAAATTAAAGAGGTGAGTGTGTAGCTTAGTAGCAGAACGTTAAATTAACATGCACGAGGCTCTGCGTTCTAGCCCGAACGCTCTGGGAAAAATCAAAACCCCAAACTGAAAAGAGCCGACAAGACTCCCCCTACAACTTGATCCACGCTTCCAGCGCCCGCTGAGTCTGTCCTGAGGCGCATGCGCTGCCCTAGGTCGGCGCGCGCCTGTGACGTCACACGCTGCGCCATCTCCCCAGATCTTCCACATTAGCGAGTCTAGACTACTCGTGTCTCGCTGTTTTGGGTTGAGGACCGCTTCTAGCAAAGAGTTTTTTTTTTCTTTTCTCCTTGTGATACTGGGAATTGGACCCAGGGACTTTGCAGAGCTACATCCGCAGCTTTTTTTTAGTTGGAGTCCCACTAAATCACTATTGCCCAGTTTGGGCTTGAACTTCTGATCCTTCTGGATCGCACAGTAAACGAGAGTAATAGGTGTGCTCCTCAACGGCAGGCTTCTAAACGGAACTTCTGACGTGAGAGACTCCCGGTGGCGGAGAGCAGCTGAGCAAAGTGAAGGAAGGCGACGCGTGAGGGAGACATCATCGGAGCGCGCGGGAACGAGCCCACGATGAAGAGTAAGGGGGGGCGCGAAGTTGGAGTTGGAGGGAGTACCAAGAATTGACTTGATGCTTGTGGATAAAATAAGTCAGGGCTGTACAGTGTTAACAGAACTTTACGGGAATTGTTAGATTTAAAGGAAACAGATCCAGTCTGCTGACTGCATTGGTGAGCTAGGAATTGACGTGGAGATTAGACGAGCTTTCCTGGAGGCTTCGCAGTGATGTGATACTAGAGGTTGGAGGCACAAGGCCTGGCCAGATCTGGCCACTACCTCCCTGGATAACGTCGGTCAAGGCCCCTCCCTCCTCTGCCACCTAGTGTTCGCCCTTTGTCTCGTATAAACTTAGAGGATTGTTGGGGAATGATACCACTAACCTGAGGGTTTGGAAAAGGAGCAGAGAAGAGATATACCAAGACAGGAAATCAAGTACCAGAGCAGTGATAGCCAGGGTAGTGTGCACACTATATAGATTGGGTGGATTTGAATTTTTATTTCCACCCCTGCCACTCCAACCTTGTAAGATCAAGTTAATATCTCAACACTAACTTAGCTTTCTCATATGTATAAGTAGGAATACCTACCGCATTTTTTAGAAAGTACAATGAGAAAAATATGTGTAGCTTTCAATCAACTGCCTCACAAGAAATGAATATTCAGTAACTATTATATGTGTACCATTGCAGAAAGACTTTCAAGTCTGATGTTAGGCTTTTCTTGACAGAGGAAGCAAAATTATTTCTAGGGTTCCAGGCTCTGCAAATTTCTTTCTACAAACATATTTTAATCCCCATTTTCCATGTGAGAGACAGCTTGACTCTATATGAAACCTGTGACCACTGTGGTTTACTTGTGAGACATGTGTTTGGAATCATAAGAAAGCTGGGACAAAATTTAGAGTGTAATGTGAACTAAATTTTGAAATTGTTTGTTTTTTGTCGGGTTTTTTTTTTTTTCTTTTGTTTTTGAAACAGGATCTCGCTATGCAGTTCAGACTGGCCTTGGGCTCATTTTGTAGCCTAGGCTGGTCTCAAACTTGCAAATAGTTCTCCTGCCTCAGTCTCCCAAGTGCTGGGATTACAGGAGTATGCCACCACACCTGGCTTTTTAAATCATTTGGCTCTAAAAGCGAGCCTTTGTCCCATTACTCCATTCATATCCTTGTCATATCTTTAGTGACACTTTTCTTTTTCAGACAAATTAAGGAGCAGGCGCATGGATATCTTTGGAGCATACATTGATCACTACATACATTTAGAGTCTGAAAAAGGACTGCTGTATTTTTTCAGTTCCAGACACCATCATTATATAATGGTCCAATTGCAATGGATACTAACATGAAAAATCTTTTTCTATGGTAGTGGGAAGTGAACCCTTCCCCTTTGGATTGAGCTAAATTCCCAGCTCTTTGTGTTGTTTCAAGAGAGTCTCACAGTCACTGAGTTGTCCAGGTTGGACTTGAACTTTTGATCTTTTTGCCTCAGCCTCCCAGAGTGACGAGATTACAAGTACATGCCACCATACCCAGCTTAAAAACCTTTTTAAATAATTTACAGCAGCAATGTATTTCTAGCTTTCTTAGCTTTATGACCTTTTTATTTTTAACTTTTTTAAATGAGTTACTTCATTAGACTTGATCTGATTGCTCAAGCTTCTAAGTTAAGGTGTTTTAAAACAAAGCATCTTTAAATATGATCCATTTATCAGCAACAGCATCTAGGAATTTGCTAGGAATTTAGGAACTGGGCAAAGGGACCAAAAGCCAATGGTTTAATAAGATCTCTTCAAACATATTCAAGTTTGAGAAGCATTCTTTTTAAGCCACTTTTAGAACTGCATCCAAAAAGACAGAATGTGTAACTCAGTGATAGAACACTTTGTTTGGCATGCTTGAGGCCCTGGGTTTGATCCCCATCACCACCAGAGTGACCAGGGTAGGAGTACTCAAGAAAGCATTGAAGCTTTGCTTTTTCATAGCAGCCCCATCTTCTGCCTCAGAGTAAGCATACTTATTTTTATAGTTTAAAAAGCCTGGGAGCTTATAACCATACTCAGCTGGAATTAATTACTTCTTTTCCTTTCTTTTAATCCCCTAGGTGTGATCTACCATACGTTTTCCCAGAAGGAAGCAAAAGAGTATGATGTTCAGGTATAGTCCTTGGCAGGAAGCTTAGGAGCACGAAAGATGCTGGCTGAGATGACTTAGTGGCATCTAAACCTTTAATGCCGATTTAGCTGTCCTTTACCATGTCACACTCATTTTTCCATTATACTTCTTAGGCTCCATCAAGGTCTGTGTTGTAGCCTGCTTTCCTGTTGTCCCAAAGTCAGATCTGGTAAACTTGGACTCCTTGATTTTGTGTCATCTCCCACTATGTAGGGACACTAGACCATGACCACCCGACACCTGCCCTTATTAGCACCAACATTTGACCTCACTGTGCCACCCTCATTCCTGAAAAAGGCACACAAAAAGGCCTGTAAGCACGCAGTGGAGCTACAGACTGTGTTGTCACTTGGCCGTAAACTCCACTTGTGGCTCATAATGACAATGTTACCTTGAAGGTGAGTTTTTGAAATCAAGATACCTTTATTTTACTTCTACCATGAAAGAGACCCCTTAACTATTTAAAAGAATTAAGTAATTATCCTCTGATAGTGATGATGATCAGTGTATTTTTAGTTAACATCTAATAATCCTACATTAAAACAGACGTAATTCTGCCATCTCTCCTGGGAGCTCTCTCAGATTATGCATATCATATCTTTTCATTCCCTGGTTTCTCAGCTGTGCAGGAGGGCTTCATTACTGTTTGACACATTAACTTCAGGCTGTTGGTTGCAGTCTGCCTAGTACTCAAATGGCCCAGCCAAGGGGTTTGGACATAAGAGGGTAGAGGCAGCCACTACCAAATGAGTAGATTGTTGGAACTCCAGCTCAAGAAGTAATGACACTTGGGGTTTGCTGAAGACACTCAGATATGTTCATCATTATGCCCAGAAGTCTTCTCTCAAGCCCATGTTTATCACAGTAACTTGGAATTGCTGCATCATGTTGGAGAGAGTAGTAAAGGGCCTGAGACGCACTTGGGTCTTTCTCCAAGCACTACAGGAGCAGACCTCTCAGAGAGGCCTCACTGTCCACAGTACTGGGAACCAAGTAAAGGAGATTACGATAGGGACGCTGTCAGAGTCCCTCCTTGCCAGGCTTGGCTCACCCTGACCACCTGGTTTTACCGTTTTGCCTGGTGTTAGGATCCTTTCCTTCACAACCATAGTTGGGTTCTACTTTAAGTTTGCCTTCTTTGGGTCATGCCTAGTTAAATGTATTGTAAGTTCTTAAGCTTTCCTTTCTGCTAAGGATGAAGGAAGTCTAAAATATAAGGCTTTCAGTCCTCAGCAGAACAACCTCAGAGAATCAAGGCAGCAAGTCACTGATATGGCCATTGTGAGCCACAGGTCAGTCATAGGCTGGCATACAGATGTGACATTCACATCTTGGAGGCTGTAACAGACACTTGGCAGATGAGGGATTTTGTAAGCTCGATGAATAGACAGATGGATCAGTGAAGACTGCCTCAGAAGCAGCAGGTGAGAGTGCCTGAGGTCCTGCCAGCTCAGACCAGAGCAATAAGCACTGCATCACCCTGTTACTGTGCAGCAGTTGGAAGGCCAGCGGGCAGAGGCCTTTGTGAGCGCCTTCCTGCGGCGGAGCGTGCCCCGCATGAGCCAGCAGGCCTGTGAGGACCAGTTGCAGCGCAAGGCCGTTATTCTGGAGTACTTCACTCGCCAGAAGCGGAAGGAGAAGAAAAAGAAATCCAAAGGCCTGTCTGCTAAGGAGAGGAGAGATCTGCAGCTCTTTGACATTAAACCGGAGCAACAGAGGTAAGCTCTGCCTTTCTGCGCCTTCTTGCCCACAGGCCCTTACTCTAGGATCTGGTATAGGCTTGCAAGCCAGGTGGCTTACTAGGGAGCCACTCCATCCTCTGCCACAAGAGGGCAGCCTTCCTTTACTAATTCATTTTGTATTTAGGTTTGCTTTCAGGAGCAAGGCATGATGAGAATAAACATTCTTATTACTTGGCTTCTATCCTAGCCTTAACTAATAAGACCATGCCATAAGTGAGTCTGTTGCCCATGGCAACACGCTGTTTGTCTTTTAGTTTTCCCAGACTGAAAAAAGGAACTGATACTGATATGTACATAGATATATATATAGATATAGATGTGTAGCTTTTAATATCACTAGACAGAATCACCCACTGGGCTTTTATTGCCAAGGAAAAATGCTGCCTACACATTTCGGAAGCTTCTAAAATGAATGCATCACTCTTGTGGGAGGACATTTTCCTCCCTCTGACTGACACTGTACCCTCCTTGGCAACAGTCTGAGTTTACATGTATTGGGACTGTTCATAGGCTTTTCCTAGAAATCAGTAGGCAGATAGCCTCCCACATTGCCGAAGGCAAATATATCACTTTGTTGGTGACACCTCACAGAATCAGCAGGGCCATGGACATGGAAAACAACTCTTGCAGTTCAGGATGTCTCATAGGTAGCTTATTTGGGGCTTCAGTTTAGGTTCTTGTTTCTCTAAGCTAGAACTTCATGTAAATGCATTCCTCATAAAGGACCAAAACAGATGATAACTGCCCCAAAGGAAAACCTCTGTGGTCCTATCACCTGCTTCCTCTCATTGTTCTCCCCACAGTCTGCTTGCTTACCTTCCCGACAGACCTGTTACCTTAAAGACCCATATGCCAGCCAGCAGATCCTGTGGACCGAGGACTTAAGTTCAATTTCATGTAACAGAAAACCTCATCTCATCAGTGGCTTAAATTCATTTCTTGCTCATGTACAAAAGTCCAAATGAACAGCAGCCTAGGTTCATGAGGAAGGCAGGCCCACAGACATCAGGGATCCAGGCAGCTTATCACCACCTCAAGCTATTTCTCAAGCTCTGGGCTCCAGCTGTCAGAGCCACATCTGGCCAGCAGGAAGGCACACGGGACAGAGATGGATCACTCCTTGTTATTAACAGAAATTATTAGACTCAAGAAGGGTCTGTCATTGATGAAACTGAGGTTCAAGAGGCGAAGTTACTAGATTTTAGTCAGGTTATCAGCAGTGGAAGCAGGACTTATACCCTGTCCCTGACTTTCCCTGTTCATCATTTTTGGCATCAAAACAAGCTCAGTACTCTAGATGTTGCAGTGCCAAGCCAATGTTGCCTAACTTTTCATCTGTTTTTGGCTTTATCACAGATACAGTCTGTTTCTCCCTCTTCATGAACTCTGGAAACAGTATATCCGGGACCTGTGCAATGGCCTCAAGCCAGACACGTGAGTTGTGTTTCTGAAGCTTGCCCTTTGGAATAGATCTCAGGTCTTAGAGTCACTGTAAATGCTACTCTAGGAACCAGCCATCTGCATTGCCACCTGCAGAAGTTTGTAGACTTTGATTCATTCACAATTCTATGTCATAATATAAATTAGGGCTTCTGTTTACTTCATAGGCAGCCACAGATGATTCAAGCCAAGCTGTTAAAGGCGGATCTTCATGGTGCTATTATTTCAGGTAATTTGCCTAAGAGCACTATCACTCAGTGGTTAACATAGCTCTTGTGTTGCAATATTAGACATGATGTCCCTTGCCATTGGTTTCTTTTTTTTTTTTTTTTTTTTAACAGTAGCAAAGTTTATTTAAAAAAGTGAAGAATGAGGGGAAAGCTGACTCTGCAGAGCAAGCTTGGGCCAAGTAAAAGAGAAAAAAGCAAGATAAAAGTACACCCTGGAAGACACAGGGCAGGCTATCCTGAGGAAAGCTGTGATAGGAAGCTCTTTTATGGCATCTGTGTCCTTTTATGCTGTCCATGTCTCGGGGAAACTCACAAGAACATCTGCGTATGATCCCAAGAGGCAGTGCTGAGATCCTACACCTCAGGCTGAAATCAGGTCTAAGACATCCTATTGCAAACCTGCTTAGGTTCTCACAAGTCATCCCCGTGCAGGCAGGGCTTTGGAAACTGTTCTGCATGTGTATTCCAATAGCTCATCGTTAACAGTTGACATCTGCTTCCCCAGCAGGTTTGCCACACCCTAATCTCCCATCTCATTTCCACCCGAGAGACATATAGCCCCCTAATTCTTTATGGGGTACTGAGGGAGTGAAAATCTCAAGCTGGAAGGGGCCATAGACCCTGCCTACTGGGGATTATGTGCTCTCCAACTACCTTGACGTGCTGTGGCTTCCCAAGGAGTTTCTTAAGGTCTCTCCAGATCATCAGCACTGAGGGCTGAAGATGGTTCCAGCCATCTTGGCCCATTCTGCCCTTTGATGGGCACTCTGTAGTGGTCTTTTTGAGCCTTCTATGCACACTTTGCTGGCACTTGCCCATAGGTGAGAATCTGGCACACGATGTCATCTAGTCCCCTGGTTTTCAGTGTCAGCTGTGATTTACAGCTCTGAAGTTATTGTCTCCAACATTGGCCCATTGCCTGAGTGCCAGGCTCATTCACCTAACTGACCACTGCATGTGACCACCTGGAAGTCCTATAGACATCTCAGACTTTATATATCCAAAACAGAACCCTCTGTTCCCTCAAACTAGCTTCTCACCCAGCCTTTTCCATCTCTTTACTTTTTTCTCCACACCAAAAATCTGGATGTTTCTTTCCTAATCCGACCTCTAATCCTATTACCCAAATCTAAACCATCATCATTTTCCCTGAGTTTCTTCAGAAGATGCCTGACCCTTTTCTATCTGATAATTTCACCCAACCTTAACCAGATAACAACCAGAATGAAGGTTTTATGAAAGAAACCAGATCATGTCCCTTTCCTACTTTAAGCTTTCTGACAGTTTTACATCCTGTTAGAATAAAATTCTGCCTGAGGTCTAAAAGGCCTCTTGAGCAGCAGGTCATCCTTGGGCAGCAGGCCTAGCCCTTCTGGCCCACTTTGTGCTTCTCACACACAGGCTTCACCCTGCCTCAGAACCTTTGCATTTGCACCTTCCCTCTGCCCGGAGTTCTCCTGTTGGTTCAAACACTGACTCATTTTTCAAGTTTCTTCGAAGTTTACCATCACTACAGGTGACCTCTCCATCCTGTTTATTCTGTCCTTATTTTCTTCAGAGCACCATCACTACCAGAGAATGTGGTTGTCCATGGTTTGCCACACGATGCCCCTCTGTTAGAACCTAGCTTCATGAGAGTAGGGTCTGGGACTTGTCTTCACGCAGTACTGTGCCCCCAGCACCTTCTTAGGACAGTGTCGGCGTCTAGTAGGCGCTCAGGGAGTGTGTGTTGACTGCACTGAGGGCAGGGCTATGACAGATGAAGAGCTTGTGACTGTGGCTCATTTCACATCACTGTCTGCTGTGTGCCTCTGCAGCCCGATTCCCATTCTAGCCAGGTTCAGGAGGCCCCAAGCAAATCATGATGGACAGATATTCAGTCAGACCTGCAGGTGACACTTGGTTACTTCAGAACAGCCAGGCTGTGGGCCTTGAAGGTCCTCCAAGGTGCTAGTTATAGGCAGCTTGGATATGTACCTTCTTGTCTCCAGACCACTGCCTAAGATCGCAGTAGTCACAGGATGTTCGGCACACAGCTCTGAACAGCCCAGATACTACAAAGCCCCGTGGCTCGGTCTTTGCCCAGCCGTGGAGCCTCTGTGGAGCCTTTCTTTCTTCCTTTGCCAGCTCAGAGGGTGGGACCAATGTCTCCAGCCCCTAACACTGACTGACTGTGCTCTCCCAAGGCCACAGTGGCCTGAGCCTCCAGCTACCTTTTTCTTTTGCAGTCACAAAGTCTAAATGTCCTTCATACGTGGGTGTAACAGGAATCCTTCTACAGGAGACAAAGCATGTGTTCAAAATTATCACCAAAGAAGATCGTCTGAAAGGTAAGTGGCTATGCCTCTGGTGGGCACCATGTGCTGGCCTCCCCAGCTACTGTCTTCTTTCCTTGAGACTCCAAGAGTCCAGAGTCAAGATAAACTGTAGACACTCACTGTTCTGTTTTGTACTGTCTGGTTTTTCTTTTCCATTCTTTTTCTTTATTCCTTTTCCTTTCTCTGCGCGCTTTTTTTTTTTTTTTTTTTTTTTGAGATAAGATCTTGCTATGTATTCCAGGCTGACTGTGAACTCACTACGTAGCCCGGGTTGGCCTCAGACTGGCCTCAGACTGGCAGCAGTCCTCTTCCCTTGGCCTCCTGAGTGCTGAGATTGTAGGCATGCATCACCACATCCAGCTTTGCAGATACTTAGTGACTATATGATTCAAGCCTGCTGAGACCAGCCCTGGACCCATGGCTCACCCAGACAGGCATTTGGGAACAGAGATGGCAACCCAGCCAGAACAGTCAGGAAGGGAAAACTTTATCAGAGCCTTAGGGAACTGGCCCCGGAATTGGGCCCTCCACTTACCAAGGGTTGCTGCCTCCAAAAGAAGTTTATAACTAAACAGATAAGAGAAGAAACCAAAGTAGTGCCTGCCCCCAGAGTCTGAAAACTGCACTCTCTGCTGACATCTCAGCTTCCATCACTGCTTGCATTGCTTCAGCAGACATTTGGGGTATCTGGGGTTTCTGTATCCCATCTCCCTTTACATCCAGAGGCTTCTAATAAAATTGGGAAAGAGGATTTTAAAACACCACCACCACCCAGGGGCTGGTGCTCAGAATCAAACCTAAGGTCTCGTGTGGCACATATTTTACAAATGAACTAACCCTAGTCCGCATTCTTTTAATTTTGGAGCTTGATTTGTCTTGCTACTTCCTTCCCGTTTCCCTTGTATTCTTGGGCTCACATTGTAAACCTCAAAGCGGTGTGACAGTTCCCCCCTGAGGACAAGGCCAAGGGCCAACTGAGTTATGTGGGAAAACCTGTTTCTTTGGCGGTGCTGGGAGTTTGTTTCATAGCTTCTGACCCAAAAAATGAGGTGTTGTGTTATATGTGGAATGTGAATCAGTTGACCTTGTGGCCAAATAACCACACATAATCCCAATAGCTTGTTTTTTAATACATAAAAATTCTTGTGAATAATATTCTACATAAATATTAACTTACTCCCTGGATTTTTCCTCATTCTCTCCACTTTTTTTTTTTTTTTTTCCAGTTATCCCCAAGCTAAATTGTGTGTTTGCTGTGGAAATCGATGACTTTATTTCCTACATTTATGGGAGTAAATTCCAGCTCCGGTCAAGTGAGAGGTCTGCCAAGAAGTTCAAAGGAAAGGGAACAATTGACCTGTGATTTCTCTGCCACCCAGGACAATTGTTTATGGCACTTGAAAATTGGAAGCACCCTAAGTACCCAACTTCAGTGGCAAGATTCTAGTTACAGACAACTCTAGCCAACGGAAATCAAAGCCCGAGGATGTTGAGTAGCACAGGCAGATGTGCCCTTCATTGTTGTAATGCTCCTGTGAAGAGCCACGACTGGCAGAATATGCCCCGGGATTAACTCTGGTTGACTTGAAGGACTGTTAGATTATTTCTTTTCCAGACTCTTCTGAGTTTTGTGAATGTTCTGTGATAATTCAGTTATTCGTGCACTAATAAAATGCACACATAGACTACAAATAAAGGAACTACTCCTATAGTCCAGCTGGGCTGAAAAGGAAGAGCTCCAGGATCATGCTTTTCATTTGCCATGAGTGCCTGCCCTGCGAGGTGGTAGTGTATCTGGGACACACTTTCAAACCTGCTGTCACCAAACTGAGCTAGGTGAGGTTCACTTTGCCGTTTCAAAAAAGTTCAGCAGGAGCAAGCAATAAAATATCTAAGTGGCTTAGGGCTCACTCAGTTGAGCAATTAGAATTGGGGTGGACCATGAGGAAAACACCAGGCCTGCATGTGTTTAGTGGTAGTTGGCCCAGTACAAGTAAACTCACCTACACCGAATTCTCCCTCCTGACTCTGTCTAGAGGTGTGGCCGCTGTATCTCTTTACACAGAATGCAAAAACTCCCCAAACATGGTGCATTTTGATGGCTTAGATCTGTTCTTACTGCTGCAAAACCTGACTTTTCAGCCTGTATCTAGCCTGATTTACCTACAAGACCACCTGATGAGGTCCTTCTATGTAGGGTCAGGGCGTGCAGCCTGAAGCCAAGTTGACAACAGTGAAAGAACAGTCTTCCCGGGCTTATGGGGAAGCCACATGGGTCAGAAACAGCCAGGGGAACCAGTCACCCCCTTTAAGAGCCAGTATATGCTGACCAACAGGGTGTCACTCTTAGTGGCAAACCACAAATCATGTTCCTTGTCTTGCACCAAGAGAAACAGTGATGGCAGGCCTGGCTTTCTCAGTCATTCCCCTTCAGACTTCATACTGGAAAGGCTTGGCTGTGCAGCGTATACCCAAGTCCGCTGCAGCTTGGCCTTCCTCTTCCCCTGCTCACTAGGAAGTTGCTGGGGCCCCTCAGTTGCTCTCCCACAATTAACACGATCGTTGCCACCTGTGGTGTGGAGCCTACATGGGCCAGGAGGCATGGTAATTCGGGCACCAGCTTGGACATTGGAAACTGGCCTGACAGCTATACCCTGTGGTGTGGCTGTTTCATAATCACATGCCCATGGCCTCATTGCCTGAGAAGGAAGAGCCAGGATTTGAACCCAGTAGTACAGCTGACTGGGCTTTTTACTCGAGTGGCTGTTAAGGTACATAACATACTTCCTTTATCACCTGCTCTAAGAAAATGTATCTTCAGTGTGGGTCTTCGGTTCTGAGCATCTGAAGTGCTGCAGTCATAGCAGCATACGTGCTATTACTTCTGAGCATCCTGCTCATACCCACTCTCCACAGTGTAAAAGGCATCAAATGTGTAATTACACAGTTGCTTTCCAGAAAAGTTGTTGGTACTGCTTGCCATGTGAAATCTGTTTTTCATTTGGCGCAGACTCAAGTTTCTGTGTGAGTGGCTGTGTAACATGCAGCCACCTCCTTTGCAGAGGAGGCTTGGTGAGAATGCTCACCTACCACAAGCTGCTGCTCTGCAGGCCTCTTTGCAGGATATACTTTGTGTCCACACCGTCCTCCTAGGCAGAGGGAGGAAAGAGGAGGGCCAGGCCATTTGGGCTGCAGTCCTGATGCTGCTGTGCCAACTGTTACACAGCCGGGGCAGATGTTAGGAGTGGTCAAGTCCCCACAGGCTGTGAGTTGGGCTCATGGATGGTACTCTGGAACTAAGTGGTCTGGTCTGTCTTCACTGAGAAATTAGTTTTCTATCGTGGCTGACACCTTGGACATATAGAGCCATGTGCAATAAGCTAAATCAGCCTTGGGTAAACCATGCACCAGAGAAACCTGGCTCCCTGGCCAAAGTGCCATAGAGGCCCATGGAGAAAGTGATCAACACCTCGAGATAAAACAGAAGAGGGTGCAGGCCCAGGAGATGTCAGCTGAGGGCCCACTGTTCTCTGAGCAGGCCTGAGGGCACTTTCCAGATTCAAGGGCTGACTGGACAATTTCACTGCAGCACTGAACTCACAGAGTACAAGCTGGAGCTTTCCGGAGAGGAGGACAAAGCACCTGGAGGGCAAAGTGGGGGCAGCGTGCATGGGCCATGGCCCTTGTAAAAGTCTTCACAAGCAAGCCTCCATGAGTAAACACCAGACTGGGGCTTAAACAAGTTGTTTCCTCAGTAGTTGTGGAAACGGAAGTCCAAGGTGATTGGGGTGCTGGTAGAGTTATATACTGATGAGGTCTCTTCTGGCTTCTGCATTCTCTGGTTGGTCATTGTCTGTCCTGTCTGTGCAAGGACAGAGATGCCTTTGTCCCTTTTATAAGGATGCTATCAGGTTAGGACCATATTCTATGACCTCCTTTAACCTTGATTATCTCCTTAAATCTCTACCTCCAAATACCTTATCATATTGGAGATTAGGGTCAGTATATGAATTGGCAGGGATATATCCATAACAGCCATGAAGTTATGGAAGAGCCCTGTCCTCGGCCACTTGTCTGGACTTCCCAGCCCAATAGTACATGAACCACTAGCCAGTTCAGCCAGCCAATGCTTAACTCCCATTTCTGCTGCATTCCATCACTTACTTATATAGGAACTTAGGCCAAGAATTGCTAGGTTCCTGTTTATTTTTGCGAGCAGCTAGGCTTAACCTCCCACCCCATCCCACTGGGGCCACTAAGCAGTCTGGTTGGGGGAGGAGATGAATATGCAAGTGGATGGGGACAGCAGAGGAGGCCCCTTGGGAGGAGGTGGCTCGCGATCTAGGCAACTGGGATGTGAAGCACAGTCACCCAGGTTCAGGGCAGGAGCTGGTAGAGTCATCATGGAGGACCACAAAATCAGTGGAAGATTTGTGGGGATCTGCTCAAATGGCTTAGGGCCAGGCAGGAGAAGTGAGACCGGGATGTGCTACCAGTCGCAATTCTGTGGGGCATAACTGAGGTTCTAACCAACTCATTAGTGGAAGAAGAGAGAAGGCAAGAAATGCTACAAAAAGTTCAGACTCATAACTCAGGATATGGAAATCATGATCACCATGTCCTGATGTCTTGGGACCTCAACGTCACCTTTCATCAAGTGGGCCAATTCAAGTAGTTTTCCTGGGATAGGATCTTGGAACTTCTGCATCAGGATAAGCAGGGTACATGTACAAAATAGCCCAGTCCTGGCCTGCAACTCAGGCTACTAAATCACACTCCAGGGCGGAACCCGGATAGCTGTGCATTTATCTGAGATAGTATCTAACATCTCTTCCACCTTTGATATCTGGACTGTGATTTAAGATTTGGGATTCATAGGCCAGTATTTTTTGGATGCTGGAAAAGGTCATCAAATGACTGATCTCTCAAGTTCTGGAAGGTAAACATGAACACTTCTCCATAAATCATGGTAAAAAGCTTGCTTTCTGGATGACGGCTTTAGCATTAATTGAGTTTGCATTTCTTAGCTATAATGCCTCATTAAGACATCTGTTAAATGTCCATAATATTAATTTAATAGAGGGGGTTCTAATAGAACTGTATTGGAATTGTCCATTTAATTAACCTCATGGGCCTTTAATGGATGTCTTAAATAGACATCATTAACAAGAGTGCTAGACAAATTGAAATTAGAGTCAATAACATTCTTGATAATTTTTCTTAGCTGTGAAGGACAAGCAGTGCTAAGCAGACAGGCGCAGAGATGGGCTGTGACGGAGAAGAGTCAGCTGCCATCCCCAGGAGAGGCCTCTCGGGGGGTCACCATTCCGTGTCCCTGTCAGCTTTGTCCAGAAAAGACGATACTCCCAGTCTGTAGGAAGCACTTCCCAGGAGTGAAGTCCCACCCCTTTGCACGCCCTTTGCAGAAAAGGTTTTCTCTCCTGGTCCATCCTGTTGAGCAGAGGAGGACATAGGGACCCATATACTTAAGGCATAGTAAGTGGGTCAGAGTATCACATCATGGCTCAGGTGAGGCAGAACAGATGAGGACAGTGGGGTTGGGGGGGGCAAGTGGGTACCGTGGAGTGAGATGGGATGAAGTGGAACATTATTACGTTGCTTTTGCCTCCACCTCTCACTGAATGGTTCTCACTCAATGCAGTTTTCCAGAATCAATAGTTACCATTTTTATGTCATTTGACCTCTCTCTCTCTCTCTGACACAGTTATCCATTCCTCTCTCCTGAAATATCTCTATCCCTACACTACCACATCCCTGCCACTGCTAGTGCCCTGCAGTGATCCTCCTAAACTCTCAGGCTACCCCTGAGCTCCATCTTTGGACCTTTTTTTTTTTTTGGTCTTTCTGAGACAGGGTTCTGCTATGCAGTTGAACTCACCATAGCTCAGGCTGACCTCGAACTTGCAGTGACCTTCCTGTTCAGCCTCTCAAGTACTAGGATTCCAGGAGTGTTCTACCCTGCTTAGCTCCACCTTTGGACTTGTGTTCCACAGCAGTGGATTCCACAACTCCAGATACACTTACAATCTCAAAATCATACTGTGGACCAGAGCCAAATAAGTGTCTGTGTTTATTGTCTTCCTACACCCAATTAGAATATAAGCTCTTAAAGTAAGGACAATGATTTTTTTACGGCTGCTGTATCCTCAGTTATTTAGAAGTATATCTGATCTGTGATAGGTGCTTAAAGAATATGCATCAAGAGACCACATAAACTTCCCCCATTGACCACTGTACCTGGGTATCTAACAGCTATCCCGACTCATAGGCTGCACACAGAGTTCTTGATTTACTATGCAAATCCACTCCCCACCCCCAGTTAATCACTGTGTAACTTGGGATCCAGAAGTCATCATTGTTACCTTTCTTGCAGTGGTACCCCATCCAATATTGTGTGAAACTCAGCTCCCCTGCCACACCCCTCGTCCAGTCCTGCCATCACCCCAGTCCCAGCCCCATCCTCTAATCTGGCGCCCAGCTTCCAGCTCAGCCTTATCACAGCTGAGGACACCTTGCTGCAGCATGGTTCAGGTTGTGCCATCCTCTGCTTAAAACTCATATGCGACTTCCTACTCACTTGGGTTAAATCTTGCTCCTGACCCTCATAGCCTGCCTGCTCCTCCAGCCAGTCTCGGCTCACCTGCCCAGGGTCCTGCCCCAGGGCTTCCCTGTGCCTCTGCTCCACTCCCCTTTTCTTTCTGGGACTTTGTTC